TAAAGCACTTATTTTACTACTTATGGATCGTCGTCTGTTCCAAGACTATTGAGAAGCAATGCGTAACGTAGGTTGTCACATTTCTCTCTGAACCGGAGGGATGGCATTGGGTAACCTTTTCAGCCTGTGGTTTGTAATAAGTCCATGTTCGTGTATTGGGAGTTGCTCAGAATGCTACTACATGTACACGTAGGCTTTTGTTCTCCAACTCCTCTTTCTTTGATTCTTCCTCCGTCACCAGCTCCCTATGACAAGGCCTTCTAGGCAGTCCTAGCAGGCCCTCACGCGCTTGCTGGAAACGCTCTCGGAGGAAAGGCGGTGCTGACCAGCGAACAAAGGCACCTTTAGAGCGTCGACTTCCTGAAACATGTATTGGCCCGTAGTATTTTAGGAGGCCTGACTCCCCTAGATCAAGCTCTGTATCTGGATCGCATCGTCTCATTTTCCAACGTTTGCCGTCGTGCTTGAGCCCATTTGGGATGACGGCTTTAGGGTTAATGATGACAGAAGTCTCGAAAGCGGTGTAATGGCCGCGGTAGGCCGAATTTGAGGTCATATTTATACGTTCTGGTGGTTCGGGTGATGTTCCAGGGATCGGATGCAGGCACCTTAGGACTGGGACATCCGGAGTATCTCGGAATTCGAGACAGTTAAGGGTCAATACCGCGAATGCACATGATTCCGATGTGTCTTTGAGGAGTCCTATTTGGTCATAATAGTGAAAGGCGGCGGTCCAGGTTTTCCTTTGGCTAGGACACCACAAGGCGCGCAAAATCCTATCAGTATCTAGACCGGTGTGGTGAAGGGCATTCACACAAAGTGCAATTGCTCGGCCGATATCCATTCTGAGCTCCTTCCTGGTTCCGTAGAGAATTTCGAGAGCCTGAATATGTCTTCCAGTTACTGCTTCAAGGTAGAGTCGCTTGGACTCCTCGTGTTCCCAGTCCATGTGAGCATTGAGGTAGTTGAGCATCGTTGATGATCCTAAAACCATAGCGAGTGGTCTGCGTCTCGCATTCTCTGTGCATGCGCTGACCTCTACTGCAACCCAGTCCGAAAGGATAGACGGGTTCCTCCTATCTGGTTCATTTGTCCAATCTGCAGTCAATTGATCTCTGAAGTCAAAGCCGTCACGGATTTTGATCGTCTCTTGATAGCCAACATTTGCTACTCCAAAAACACTGAGTTGGGTCGTTACAGTCCTAGTGTCCCTGACCATGACAGGTCTTCGGACTTGTCCCGGCTTCATTAGACCTACATCACGCATATACGAGGTATACGTGTCTAGACCAGCTGGGAGGGCGCAATCTCCATTGATGGAGAGCTTTAAGCCACCACCAATGAGTAGTCTAGCGTCTTGACTACCTCTGGGAAATGGTTCAACGTCTACCAAGTCTGACGGATCGTTAGTGTAATGGGCGAAAAGTTCATCTGGAGAGGTGGTAGGTTCTTCGATTTCCCTTCGACGTGGTATGATCCACCCTAGTCCGATGCTGAACCTCAGGATCTCGGGCGTTGTTTCGGCTAGATCGGTAGAAGAGGACTTGTTGTGAGTTACATAGACAGGACCCCAGGTGCTGTTCAAGTCCTTCAACGTCGTGGAAAGATACAAGCCTTCGGTATCCCAACGACCTTCATTTGAAGATGAAATTCCGAATACCCAAACCGGGCGTTGTCGTAGATACCCGTCGAGACATCTTAGGTTTTGCGGCCTCAAGCACAGGGTGCGACCGGTGCCACACTCGAAGTCAAAATGATCCTGTTTCTCGAAGTACTTCTCGCCGAACTTCTCCAAGTGTGCACCACAGAATGAGACGATTGCCGTGTCCAGCAGCCAGTTGATCAAAGTGGCTACGATTAAGAAGCTTTTTCGTGGATCGTAGATCTCTAAGATGTGGGCATAATCTTCCCGAAAGCCCCAGAGACGGAGGTGATCGAGGCAACCGTGTACATCTTGGGACTCAAGTGCTGCACGATACCTGTCGATATCGTCCATCGATATCTTGATCAAGTTTGCAACCCCATCTCTCTGACTATCTTTGATAACGGCTGTGATGCCGTCTCTCACATAGGCGGCCTCTTTCATGGTACGCAAGTTAAGGGCAATACGTAGAAATCCATGTCTCACTTCGGTGAGTCCACGTCCACCGGGACGAAAAGGGTGCCTCTGTTGCTCCTTGAGGAGTGATGAACGCTCCACAACCTCCCTCTCCATCGATTCCAGTCTGTTGATCCATTGCTTTGTACGTACTAGGTGCTCGTCAGGATTGAGGTCGCTTGGTAGCGTTTGGGTTCCAGTATCTATCAGGCTGACTTCGGAGTCTTCTGACGATACTGACATATGATCGAATTCTGTTATTTCTGTTTCGTAGACATGACGAGATTCTTCGGTGTGGTCATCAGAGGTACCGAAGTTACTTCGGGAATGCTCGCTAGTGGAATCCTTCTCGTCCTCAGGTACAGTGTTGGCGGCGTGGCTGAAATCATCTTGGGGATATACCACGATACGTTGAGAGGACCCGCCTTCAAGAGATTCTGCAGGTCTCGAATTTACATCAATACCGGAGTCAGAGAACGTTTCTGCCACCACTGTTGGAACGTGACCACTAGCTACTAGACGAGAAACTGAGGCATGAAACCTCTCGGTGGCGTTCGGGTGAACAATGACCTGTTCATTCTCCACCGTGTGGTCAATTTTCAGTGGTAGGCTGTTCGGTGACGCTGAGCCTACTACTATATTGGGTATCGGGGTGTTGCAGTCGTCGCAGAAAAATCTGGTAGCTGAAAGGGATCTGAATCTCTCAACAAGTGCGTGGGTTGTTGGTCTTTTATACGGTTCTAATCTGAGCATATCCTGGCAGACATCGAACACATCAGAGTATTTCGTATCGAGTCCCCTCGAGAGTTGCATGGAAGCAGTAACTTGATCGAGACGAGCGCAATAAGGTTGGGTGTCATCTTCGGTTTTGGGGACGACCTTGAATTTGGGTACAAGAGCCGCCAAAATTTCAACGTAGACACATCCTAAGGAGAAAACATCTGCTGATCTACCTCTTGGCATATAGTCAAAGACCTCAGGGGGGGCATAACGTTTGGTGAACTGGCCAGGATGACCAGTCGTTCTGTTTTGATCCAATAGACTAGTATCCCGGGCAATACCAAAGTCGGCGTACAGGATATGGCCTTGATGAAGGAGAATATTCGATGGCTTAATGTCGCCATGTCGAATGTGCCTCTGGTGCATGAAGGCAAGCCCGCTGGCAAGGCATCCAAAAGACCGACTTAGTATATCCTCATGCTCTTTTGATACATCTCTAGATCCCTCGACGCGATCAAGAAAGCTTGCCAAATCTTCGTCTGCAACAGGATAAATGAGTATTGACAGGTGGCGGTCCGTCTGATATGAGCCAACTACACTGACAATATGGTCATGACCAGAAAGTATTTTCATGACCTGTATTTCATCCTGAGCACGCTTTCGCACTGCTTCGGATTTGCGCTGTATCATCCGCAATGGTATACGTTTTCGGGCGTAGATTTGCCCCGTCTGCACATGTTTCACTTTCTCAACAATGCCACTGCTGCCGGAGCCCAGATTGGCTATTAGTTGATAGGATAGATCGTTTGAGCCGTCGACAGTGCCGCCTGGTGGTTTCGTTACATCCTTGACTGCAAAAAACGATGTAGATGCTGGGTTTACACCGTCAGTCCGACTGGCAATGGCGAGGCGACCAGTTTCAGATACAGGATCCATGGTTTCGTACAGCTTCGTGGTTCCTTGCGAGACGTGTGGAAGTATGTGCGGTTGGTATAAAGCTCGAGGGCGCTTGAAGGGGATCGTTGTGATGTGGTCAAGGTCGTAACGGGGCTTTCCTAGTGTCTCAGAACAAAAAAGCCATGGTTTCGGGTCCGTGTATGCCGGCTTGATTCCTTTCGTCAAGGACTATCAGGTGGTAATCTGAATGGTGGGCGTACGCTTCTCAAGCAAGTAACAAAAATGGTGTACTTCGTAAATCGGAGAGTTTGTGTTTCGAGTTTTCATCTCGACTTGAATGGATTAGAATGGGATCAGGTTCCAGGGCGAAAGGCGAAGAGCTTGCGACAGCCTTGGAGGCGAAGTATGTGATGCGATGTCATGTGCCAGCCGGGGCTGAGCAGATTGGCGACATACGATGCCAACATCTTGGGAGCGAACGAAGCCACATCGTGCTTGGTATCAAGCTTGAGTGGCCAGAGTAATCGGGGCAACGTCCAATGGAATCGAGCGTGGAAGCCCAACGAGGCAAGGCTGCTAGCAAGGCTGAAACTTGCGGTCACGAAAGTGGTATTATTCAGGTCGATTACAGCCACTGGAGATTCAACTTCGCGTGCGTTGCCATCTGCCGTACTGTAGCGCGACAAATTGCGATTGTAAGGGGTTTCTGCCTTCCCCGATAACAAAGGGAGAAGATAATTCATGCAGGTGACTGTCAAGGTTGAGGTTGAGAATTCAGCTTCCTCGCTTCGCCAGATGCAGCTAGCCTCAAGTGGATGAGATATCCCAACCCATCTTCCCATATAAAAATACAAGAAGGAAAAATGCACTACATCCCGCGTTCTATTTCGTGCCATCAGCCATAGTATTTGCAGGACATCTTACCCCAGGCAAAAAAAGCCACCACCGCTATTCCTATCAAGAGTAGTGTCACTCGATGGCATTTCGAAAGCTCGCCACGATGCCACTGCACAGGCTAAGATGCTATGCCAAAGTACATAGAGGGCAGATGAAGGGCAGATCAACAACTGGAGGTACATTCGATTTGTTAGACCAGCCAGTTATAGCAATGCAAGGTAAGGAACCTTAACCCAAGCTCATCGCTACTTCCAGCAACAAAAGGCCCTTCACCAAACGGCCCGAACCCATCTCGCCAAGCCAATACATTCACGAAGTAGCCCAAAAATTAAAAAATGTCCCCAGTATACTCGAACTCCCCACATCGGCAAAAAAAAGAAAAAGGTACTAGCTAAGCACCGTTTCGATCGGTGGTCCTCCGGGTTACATAGGTATGAGCCCGGCGCGCTTCCGCTGCGCCACTTAGCTTGGATGCTGTGATTTAGAGAGTTTGTAAATTTTTGGAAATTATATAGTGGCATTGAAGTAGACTAGGCAAGTAAAAGCCCATCAATTCGTGTAGGCTACTGAGGTAAAGGTAAAGGTCCCATTATGGGGACGGCGGAGATACAGTGAAGTGTGAGTCACGAAGACGGACGGCTGTGTGACCCCACTGAAAATTTGGGATAGTATCAAACGGGGCGTGGCTAGGGAGTTAGAGGGGAACCGGCAAATGAGAAGACTAAAGTCCGATGGTATCCTAGGTACTATGTAAGAATGAAAAGTGTCTTCTACCTTTGTATGAAACTGCGGACATCGCGGTTTCGCTTCACTTGACACCTAAACAATTGAGATATTGCATGTTAGATGTGCGAAAGTCCATCGGACGAAACCATTAATCTGATTTCAAAAGGAAAGGATGTCCCGTCTCCTACGTACCGAAAGACAAAAGTATAAGATGCGTTTTTGTGGTATCTGTAATAACCAAAACGCATGACGCCAAAAAGAGCAAGTGCAACAAGACCGCAAATCCACGAACAATGACAACTCGGTGGTATCACATCTTTACACTCCCTTGGCCTCGTACAAATGCCCACTCTTACTCAAAACCGTCCCTAGTCCCCTGTGTACCTCAGCCTGAAACCCTTCAAAGGGCACTCTTTCCCCGTCAATACTAATGTAACCCTCCGTTTGATTCTTCGGTACGATTCGATACGCGGACACCTTGTCATATCTAACATGAGGCAGATCGAAGAATGTCCCCTTCTCTATAGAGAACATCGTGTTTATAGCAGTCAGGCGGGGAATGTTTCCGTCGATGCGTATGAGATCGAGACAGCCGTCGTTGGGAAGGGAAGCAGGGAAGAAGTTTGCATCTGGAGACATGTAGGCGAGATTGCCGGCGTAGAAGTTCCCTAGCTTGTCGTGCGGTATAAGCTCCCAGCCTTCCGGTAAGGGATCCATACTCGTCCCGTACTTCAGCTCTGGAAGCCCTGTGCCTGGTGCCGGGAGTGGTCTCGAGTCGGACGTTGGAGGGGGTTTTGAGGCCTCGTCGCGGTAGACTTTACACACGTCGACTTTGTTATCGTGCTCGATTTTGACGGCGATGTCGGCCGGGTAAACAATCTGCCCTATCAGGCGGACGAAGAATCCGTACGTGAAGCGTGCGCTGCCCATCCATCTTAAATCCTCAGTCCCTAGATCGACCTCTGCTACGATGCCAACGGATTGTGAGCAAAAAGAGAGGGTTCTTTGGTCACCTTGCGTAATGGAGGTAAGGTCCAGCGGAGTCCGGAGCCCCTTCACAACTGCTAAAGCAGCAAGACTGGGACTATCTGTGCCATTGAAATTGAGAGAAGCGGCATTGCCACTCCCACAAGGCATTTGCGTAATAGCGACTTTCGCCAACGCCCTCGCAGCATCGGCTTTCTTCGCCAGGCCGTTCCAGACCTCATGCGGCACACCATCTCCTGAGCAGCACGCCACAACATCATACGCATCGATGTCCAGATTCTGCCCAATCTCAATCGCATGCCCATTGTACTTCGTCTCCTCAAAATCCAGCTCGCACTGCGCGCCTTCGAGTATCGGCGCAATGCTCTTATAGTACATCTTCCTAGCTTTTCCCTGGCCGCCGAATGGGTTGAGGAGGACCTTGATGCGTTTTCGACGTAGGGAGGCGCCATACGCGCGAGAAACGAGCTTCTCTACCCATGCATGTGCGTGCGGCGTCTGCGTCTTGTCCAGTTCGTAGCTTATAATCGCCGGCCTAACCTCCTTCTTCGAGACGGCATGTGCGTATTGGATGATGACATCCCCTTCCTCCTTGAGTTCGGCCCAGAGGATGTTGTAGAAGGGAATCGAGCGAGTGGTCTTCTTCTCTGTTTGCCGTCAATGCCTGCGTGGACAGAAGGGTCGCGTTTGCTACTTACGCCCAGGAATGACATTGACGCCGCAGCAGAGCGCCGGTCCTCGACTCTCCAGCAGCGCTTCGTCTAGTACTATCAACGAGTCCGTCCCCAAAGTCAACGACGCGTTCCTGCCCACAGCAAGTGTATCCGGGACATCGTTCGCCCCGTCCCACGTTCGCGACTCTGCAACGTGTGTAGGTGACTGAGGCGCCGGGTGTTGTGTATCTAGCGAGGGGTCTTTGAAAGGATCTTCGTCCCTTCCAGCCATGGTCACGAAGAAAGAATAAGGGTCTTCTGCATTGCTGGTGCGAAGCGGGAGAGGAGGGCGAACTGATAGTATTGTAGGTATTTTTACGTTGGGAGTAAGCTCACGCGGATACTTCGGGAAGGTGTGCCTGAGGCAAACAAAGGTTAGCTTGCGAAACGGCCAGGGTCCACGTCCCAGGGTCCATGCAACTTGAACCGAGGCTCGCGTGTACAGGGAAGCAGATCACTGCACATGCAAGCAATGTAATCGGTATGTAGAGTTGGCTAGTCTTGCGAGTCGGAAGGCAGTTGAACATACGTGTTAGAATTGATAGTGTGGAACGACATCCAACAGCCAGCCTGTCATGCCAACCATAACTTTTCATTTCCCTGTCGCGTCGGTAGCCTCGTTAGAGTTCTCACTCTTACACCATAAGTCTATAAGCACTACTGCCTCCAAGAAGGGGCGTGCAGTTGCATTTGAAACCAACCCTGGAACGCTACCATGCCCTCAATTATGATGTTCCAACTTTGTTGAGACCCTTCAGCGAGCCCAAACTCAAGGCCAGACCCTGCGACCTACTCCTGATGCGCACAAATCCTGTTATTGGTCCGTTATCGCCCTCCTTCTCTATGCTCAAATTCGCAAGTGCATCCTCCCCTGTAACTATTGTCAGCGCAGTCTATTACTAAAGTAGGCTTGAATATGCTTACCAAACACGCTTCTAGCGTACAGGTTGGCCGACAGGAACTGGCAATCGCCCTTCATTGATGCTTCTGGTGTGAGACAGCTCATATTGGTTGATGCCATCAGTTGCTTCAGGAACTCGCGCAAGGTCTTAGCTTTAGAGTTGATGTTGACCTTATTCTCCCACTCAAATTCCGTCCACATTGTTCGGAACTGGGTCTCGGTGCATTGAGCGGGCTTGATGTAGTCCATGATGTCGACGTGGACGTCGTTGAGGATAACCACATTCGAGTCGACGCCCTTCTCACCCTCATAGATAATGTTACCGAAGATCACGCCGGTATCAGTCGAGGAGACCTTGATGGTGGCTTGCAGATTGATGAAGTCGTGTGGTCCGACATTTTGCGTTGGTGGACGTTCAACCACCTTCAGATCTCCGAGCGTAGCAAACTCAACTGTGAGGTTTTGCAACGTCTCTGTAGTCTGGTTGACGAGCAGAACATCGAGGACGATGTCGAACTGGTGCACCTTGACATATGCTTCAGCATATACAGGGTCCGAGAAACCGGTGAGCTGTACAACTCGACTGAGCTTGGAGGTGAGATCTTCAGTCGCCGTATCGCCTCCTGTTGCCCTCTCGAGATCCTGTTCGACTTCATCATTGCCATCAACGTCCTTCTTCTTGAGTTGTCGGATGGAGAAGGCGTCGTCTACGTTGATAGCAGACTTGGCTCGCTCCACAGCTTCTTTGGCTTTCCTTTTCTTCTCTTCGGCCTGTACCATGGTGCGGAAAGATTTCCGTGTGTCTTCTAAGAAAACTCTTTCTAATTCTTTCTTCTCAGAGAACTCTGACAAGGATCGAACACAAGACAAGATTCGATCGATAGAGTCCTCATCGATCAAAGTCTTCACGAACTGTGACTGACCAACACGGATGATGGAAATCATGATGAGCATAGCCTCAGCGCGGAGCGCATTCGTGCGTGCCTCGTCCTTGGAGATCTCTGAATGTCGCATGACAAGCTTCGTAAGAGTGCTCGAGAGGACGGTAGCCAGGTAGTAGTCGCCATCGAGGATAAGCTGGCGAAGAGGGGGTTTTTGTGAGTTCTTTACGGCTTCGAGTTTCGCTTTCGCTGCTGCCGAAGACGTAAGGGCGCTTTCTGTTGCATACGTGCCGTCCGCAAGGACCTTTCTGGACCCAGATGGAGCAGTAGGCTTAGCGTGACCATTGACCTGCTCAGAAGGCTCTTTGCCCTCTGAAGCTTCCTCTAGCAGCCGCTGCTCCGAGGCAAGAATTGGGATCTCGCCAAGAGATGACCGAATGCCTTTCCACGCATCTCGAATGTCCTTCGGTTCCAGAGAGAATTCTCCGATGATCCAGAGCACCCCGCGATAGACCTTGCCAGCGCGGACTTCAGCCAGTGTGGTCACTAGGCGCTCGATAATAGACGCACGCAGATCTGGGAAGCGCTCGACAACTTCTTTGACAAAGGAGATTACATCCACAGCAGATGCGTTGCTGCTGACATCCGAGATGAAGTCCATTAGCGACCCAACTACGCTGGCTGCGACTTCTGGGAACTTGATAGCGGACTGGTGGATGGCCGAGATAAGAAGGGATCGGTATTCAGTATTCTTCTCGTACTGTTCGTCGACGGTCTTCATCAGTTCTTTCTTCAGAAGCAGCACGACTTCTTCAACGTTCCGGCTGGAGACCATATCTAGCGCGATATTGAGAGCCTTCTTCCGCACATCCAAGTCGGGGCTAGAAAGAACGCGCAATACTTCCATGGTGAGGTCGTCCAATACACCCTCGTTCTTTTGCCTCAACTGGTCGACACGCTCCAGAACGATGAGCTTGACGTTGTTGTCTGGCTCCTTGATCGCAAGCTCAGTGAACTTGCTGGCTGCAGCCTTGACAGCTACAGGATTGCTTGTGAGAGTAGTCAGAGCATGGGCGGCTTCATAGAGGACTGTCGAAACATCCGACTCAAGGAGGTCGAAGATCAGGCGCAGGTACCGCGCCTTGTTTGAGGGATTCGCTACGGCATCTTTGCGAATGAACTCGAGTTCCGCGAGAAGGACAAGCTCGTCGTGATTTGGTATCGAGTCGAAGACCGTGCTAAGGTACTCTAGCGCCTTTT